AAATAAATAAAATCTTTAAGAAAAAAAAAAAGAAATGGTCTCAGGCTTGGGGCGCCTGGGTGGCTCAGTCGTTAGGCATCTGCCTTCGGCTCAGGTCACGATCCCAGGGTCCTGGGAGCGAGCCCCACATTGGCTCCTGCTCAGCCGGAAGCCTGCTTCTCCCTCTCCCACTCCCCTGCTTGTGTTCCCTCTCTCACTGTCTCTCTCTCTGTCGAATAATAAAATCTTAAAAAAAAAAAAAATTGTCTCAACCTTACCCCCATTCCTACTGAATCAGAATCTGTATATTAACAGGATTCTCCAGGGTGTTTGAGAAATACTGATCTAGAAGATGGCGTGGCCAGCCAGGTTTGTAGGGGGCAATGACATTTCCTTAAACCCTAAAGTACAAACTTAAGAGGTAGTGCTTGGCTTTCAGGGTCACTGGCATGTTCCTGTCTTCCCTTCTGATGTTTGAATATTTAGCTTAGGGTTTATTGTAGCTTTCTGCACTTATCCGTGTTTATAGTACTGTATTCTTAATCTGCATTCTTCTATGTGGAAAATCAGCTTTTTTGATATGGGAAACCTTGTGTTACACAGAGAACCCAACTGAAGATGAACTGAACTAGGTGGTGTTGGGGGAAGTGAGTAGGAAGAATGGTGTACGTATCCCTCCTCTCATACATAATACACAAACGAACTGCTTTTCAAACTTATTTATAAATTGGGGGGGGTCTGTATTTAGTTTGAAGAAGGGGGCAGCATTTGAAAAACGCTGAGTGTAGCAGAAAATTACTTCTTCCTTCAAAAATATTTTCCTCTTGTAGCAGTTGAATACTGTGTACATGGCCCTTTCCTACTAGATTTGTAGTTTCTTGAGGGCAAGAATTCTTCACAGTGCCTTGCACATAATAGGTGCTTGAGATTCACTGGATGAAACGTACGTAGTAAATAATTTTAGATGATTACTGGAACTGGGAGTAAAAATGTACATGCCACTGGTGTGGTGGGAGGGGCTGCTTTACACATCTTTTTATCCTCCTAAATGTTCCATTAATGTAGCAAGGTATAGCTCACTGGTTCCTGAAGATGTCTTACTAAATACTGATATCATGGGACACCTGGGTGGCTCAGTCGGTAAAAGCGCCTGCCTTCGGCTCAGGTCATGATCCCTCGGTCCTGGGATCGAGTCCCACCTGCTTCTCCCTCTGCCTGCCCCCCGCCCCCCGGCTTGTGTGTGCTCTCTCTCTCTCTGACAAATAAATGAATAAAATCTTTAAAAAAGTAAGTACTGAGATCATTTTCTAAAATTTCCTTTCTTAATCCAGTGAAAAGTAAAAAAAAAAAAACAACCCTAAAATGAAGCAGTACTCTCCTTCGGGTACTATACAGATTAAGTGGAACAAATTTTGAACACTTTGATTGGAAAGAGTCATATAGAAAAGCAATGTGGTAGAAACTCTGGTTTCATTGGACTTCTAGAGGCCAAGACGGGGGGAATGGGTAACTAGTCACGACCATACCAGCAGCACACCTTCTGTTTTCTTGGAAATGCCAACCCTGCCCCAGCATACTGACAATTAGCCTGTGGAGGGGACAGCAGGCAGACATGCAAAAGTCAGTGTTGGGTGAAAGCTATAGTACATTTTCGCTGAATACAACCTACTCTCTGAGCTGTTTATCGGCAACTGCACAGAAGGAAGTAAATAGCTCTTAGTCCCCAACACAGGAGGAAGAGGAAGTTCTTCAACCACAGGCTTCTTACGGTAGCAAGTTAAGCCAGTGATATTTTTTAAAAACAGCAGAGCTTGAATAGTTAGGGAAGCTATTACTTTAATACCCTGGAGATGGGGGCGCCTGGGTGGCTCAGTCGGTTCAGCTTCCCACTCTTGGTTTTAGCTCACGTCATGATCTTGGGGTCTTGAGATCAAGCCCTGTGTCAGGCCCAGCTTGGGAGATTTTCTCTCTCTCTGTCCACCCGCCCACCCAACACCAACCCGGCTGCTCGCTGGCACGCACTCTCCCTCTTAAAAACAAACAAACAAAAAACCCTGTAGACAGAATGCCTCATGGGACCTTGGGCCACATTTATCATCAAATTTCTTTTGTAAGGATCGGTACTCAAAACGCAGTCCCATAAAACATGACAGGTACTCTGAACACAGAAACAGGAAGAAAGGACTAAGGTTTCGCTGGGTGGCCCTCAGAGCTCCAAGAAGCCAGTTTAGGCTACGTAAACTTCACTTCAGGCTATTTTGCATTGCTAGGGAAAGTCTGAGGGCCAGATTGCCAAGACTCTAAGATCCATTCTTCATTAAGTAGCTGGCACACTAATCTCCAAATCTCTGACACGCACGGAGCGGTCTCCTCACCACTGTGACCACAGCAGGGGGCGTGGTTACCTATCTCAGCTGAAAAGGCGGCAGTTTCACTTTCTATTCTGCTCACTTGAGAACTATGCAAATAGGCCAGAATAGCCAGGTCACAATACCAGAACACTGATCGCATGGGAGGGAGAGGAAAGGAAGAATGGTGAATGAGACACCAGATGGGTTCCTTCCCCATTCAGGGCTCAGCAGTGTTAGGGTTTCACTTGTCTGATCCTGAAGAGGAATCTAGCTCTGGAAGCTGAGCCCGTATCTTAAGCATAAGCACAGTGTATTCAATAAAACATTTTTTATTCTGTACAATATATATGTGTGTATTTAAATATATATATATGTATATATATGTGTGTGTGTATATATATATGTGTGTGTGTGTGTATATATATATATATACACACACACACACACATATATGCAGAGAAACCTGAACCAACAAATCCCTGAGTCCGGGGAACCCAGGACATTAACAAAGGGAAAGGAGGGAGTCCATGCCCTAAAAGAGTAGGAAATATGGCAACATCTTTCCCTTTCCTCCAGGTTCCCTGCAACAGAGGGAGGACTTACATGGGAGCAGGAAGGGGGGGGAAAGGGTGGCAGGATGAGGAGCTGTGGGTCAGGTCCCCAGTCACTCGTCTGGGAAAGTAAAACACTGTTTGATCCAGCATTAAAACCAACAAATCACTGCAGAGGAGGGGACAAGACTGATTGACATGCAGCTGACCTTCGGTATGCCAAACCTGAGCTTGGCAGCCCCACGCCTGGGCCAGCACGACAAATAGCACCTGTGGGGCCTATGAGCAGAGAAATGGGAAATGGCCCTTGCGTGAAGAAGGGAAAGGAGACAAAGCTGAGGAAGAGACCTCATGTCTCAGCACAAGGTGGGAGCTCTGTCCCTGTGCCATTTCTTCAGACCCTGGGCCACCAGATGGCCAGGAGCAAATGTCTTTTGTCCACAGTCAAGTAGAGATGGGCAACTTACATGGCCTTGAGAAGAGGTATAGAAAAAGGAGTGCTTTCGAGGACCACCCCCAGTTGTTGTGACAATTCCTGAAGTGCAGGGACCACACCGGCGAATCACGCTCAGTCTCGACAGTGGGGCCAAGGTGGCGGTGGTCAGCTCCCTCCAGCAGACAGGCCATGGGGTTGCCAGGGTTGATGAGCCAACCAGGTGGGCACACAGCTGCTGAGCACTGCCCTGAATTCTCCTGTCTTCTCCCTCAGGACTGCCCCTCCCTGGCCACACCGAGCTTGGCACCTTCCAGAAAGGTGGCAGGGAGCATGGGGCAGAGAGCACCGGTCTCTCCCTTGCCTATTAACACACAGAGCCGCCAACAGTGGGCAGCATGGCCAGAAGTCACCTCATGTATTGTAGGGACAGCAATGGAGCTGTGCCTGCCTGGAGGAGTTCAGAAGCCCATGTTGGCCTGGGCCTCTCCTGCTGCAATGGCTTGTACATCGGTGACATGGCCGATGCCCTTGGTGACACCCTCCCGGAACAGCAGCTTGGCGCCCACCTTCAGGTACTCTGGGTGTTTCAGGAAGCGGAAACGTACCACTGCCTTCTCCCCTGTCCGCAGCTTGTCCTGCAGCAGATACGCCATCACTCATCCTGGACAGTGCCTCCCATCCCATTCTCTACGAGCCTTGGCTCTCCACCCTCAGGGGCCTATCAGGCTTCCACCCACCCAGAGTGGGGCTCTGTCCCCTTTGTGGGATCAGGGAGTTCTCTGTGAGTCTGGGGCCAGGCCTCCTTCCTTTCTGGAGGCAGAAGAATTCTAACTTTTCCCTGGAAAAACGGCACGGCTGGGTCCCTCTCACCTTGGCATGGATCTTTTCCACCACTGCTGTCTGACGTACATTGCCCACGTGTACTGTCACCTGGAAGCCTCGCCGGAACGTGGTGGCATGGAACAGTAGGACTATCTCTGCCTCGAACACTGAGCAGATGGTGGGATTCATCTCGGGGCTCACCATCACCATGCCCTGCGGAGGCACAGCCCCCAGACCAAGGGCAGACCTTGCATTAGTCTCTCCCTCCCCCACCACCGTCACACCCTCTCCAGCTCCTGAACCTCTTCCTCTAGGACTTCGAACACAAAGGCCTCAGAAGACAATATTCAAAACTCTCCACTTAGAACTCTTCCTCATCCCTGCCATGTCCTCTAATCCTTCTAATGCTTAGTATTTCTAGGCTCCTGGACGACAATGATCCATATTTAAGTATTCTCAGTATTCCAAGCCTTTTTCATACAGTCTATGTAACCACCTTCTTGGGTTAGAGACTATTTCCTTTGAGTTCCTCTGAAGCATCTTAGGTGCTTCTCATTCAAGCAGTCAGTCTCCCAGGCACTTCTCTTTGGGTTCCCTCTCCAACCCATCCTCCCACCTTACCTTGCGAAGAAGGGCACGGTCAAAGTCCCCGAGGGCCAACGTAGCAGCCTGACCAGCTCGCAGCACACGACAGGCAGAGCGGTTGCGCTGGATGCTGCACACTCTCAGCTCCAGGAAGCAGCCATCATCCGTGGGGCCCACCACCAGCTGGTCCCCCTCACGGCAAATCCCACTGCGGCCCAGAGGGCAGGTGGCACGGTGTCAGTTTAGCACCCCCTACCCCCAACAACCTCCTTCTCTGCGAGGGTCACCCAGAACATTCTTTCCCTTCTAAGCTGACTCCCTCGGTTGCGGGGCGGGGCGCAGGGGAGGAGGCCCCAGTTCAAGCTTCAGACTCTAACGGCTAATACCTGGAAAGGCCAGTAGTGACGGTGAGAGGTATCTGCAGCTTTGACACTAAACACACCCTGTGCTTTGAAAAAAGTCTTAAGGGATCTCTCATTTCCCTATGGGGAAATGATGTCAGGTGAACACAACTGGGGCTCAAGATCCACACTTCTCCCTCAGGAGCCTGGAGATTTCTAGTTAGCGGCAATACTATTTCTTCCCTCCTGAGTCAACAGACTAGCCTTCTCCAGCTCTTCTCATGGTGAAAGCCCAATCCGGAAACAAGCACGTCGTTTAGATCGGTCTGTACAACTCCAAGGTCTCCTTAAGGCCATGATGGAGTGTATGGGTATGTGAGGGCTGAAGGGGATGGGGAGCAAGCAAAGCAACTCACCTGGAAAGTGTCCCTCCAACAACTGTCCCCACCTCCGGTACTGTGTAGATTTCGTCCACCTGAGGCCAAAGAAAACGCTATCAACAGCCAGCCAAGTAGGGCTGGCAAGTCCAAAATCTTGAAACAGGCTCAGGGCTCGGTCAGAATTAGTCCCTCCCAGTTCTCCAACTCACTGCCCGTTCAGGTGGCAAATTACCTGAAATTCCGTCAGCTGCTGCATGAGTTCCTCCTGCTCTTTGCTGTTGGTGAGTGGTGGCAAGATATTCAGAAAGACTTTAAGCAGGTCCAGACTCTCTCCAGATACGCTGGACAGCGTGAAGATAGGAGTGACGCTGTAGAGGGAGGCATGGAATGGACAGATGAGGAAGCTTCTAATAGGAAGCAGAGGCTAGAGCTCCCTGCATGCAATGGGGAGCTTCTGGGGCGGGGGTGGGGGGGAGTGGGCAGGGGCACCTCTCTCCTATCTGCTGACCTTGTCAGGAGCTCTGAGTCCTTTCTCTGTGAGCCAGCCAAGGAATGTGGCTCACAAGGCTCACCCCGAAGCCCAAGGGAGACAGCGAATGCCTGGCATAGCACTTTGTCTCCTGCATCCCAGGCACCAGCAAGCCTCCAGGCTGGCTAGCAGACTCCCTCCCACAATCCCAACCGGAAAAAACACAGAACTGAGCCAGAACTGGTCTTGTCCTGGGGTGGGACGCCACGCGGCAGCCTTCCCCGTGATCAGGGCTCTGGAGTGAGGAAGGCTTACTTGGGTGACTGGGCGAACTGCTGAGCCGCAGTGACAGCGTCATCCTCGGAGGTGACCAGCATGGGGACTTTGTGGCAGCCAGGCTGCTTGAGGACCCGCTCTAGTTGGCGTACTGTCCTCTCCACTGTGGTCTTGGCACACAGGTCCACCTTGCTGACCACGATGAAGAAGGGCACTTTCAGGGCCAAGGCCAGCCCCAGATGCTCCCTTGTGGTGCCAGCTGCCTCAGAGAAGGAAGGCGGGCAGCAGGAGAGGGGTGAGAATGTGGGAGGGCGCAGGGGGGACAGGAGAGTTCGTCTGACTCCCGGATTCGAGGAGACTCAGGGTAGGAGAGTCAGCACCCCCCACCAGCCCCGTCCCTGCCCCCCTGCCCCGTACCAATCCCAGTGTTAGCACTGACGAGCAGCAGGGCGCAGTCGGGGCAGTAGGAGGTGAGGCCGAAGATGGTAGTGTGTAGGTACTTGTGGTGGCCTGCCAGGTCGATGAACGTGATCATCTTGGAGCTGCTTTCACAGATCTCTTCTGCCGTCCGTGAGTCACTGTAATTCACCACCTGGCCCAGAGCCCAGGGCTCTCAGTGCCCCCTGTCAGCCTCCCCAACCCTTTAAGAGTCGCCAGGACCTAAACCAGTCACTGGGTGACCCTGCCTCCTACCCCTGAGCCCCATATCTGATATAACTCAGCTGATTCCCCATTTGTTTTCTAAGGAGACAGAGCTTGTTCCCTGCCCTCAGGGTCTTCTACACTACTCCAAAAAGTCTGCCCTTGGGCTCTGTCCTCGGGCTCTGTCCTTCACCACTACCATCCCATCCTCAGAGTCTGGCCCCACTGGGTCCCGCTGATTGCATGCACCTCTCCCTTGCTGTTAAAGCCCAGGATCTCGAAGCTGATGCTGGAGGTTCGGCCAGACTGAATCTCATGCAGGTGGCGGAAAAGGTTGAGCCGAGCCCGGCCCCGCCCATTGTCCAGCTCTCCCTGGGTCAGGACTCCAAGCAGAGTCGACTTCCCTGAGTCCACATTGCCCAGGACGGCCACACGGAGGTCTAGGAACTGTGGATGAATTGCGAGAGGTAAGGGCTCCAATCCCTTACGTCTCTCCACGGACGGGTGGGTTAAGGGCAGTGACACTCCCTGGGGACCAAATAATGACCTGGACGCCCCCAGGTTCCCAGGCCAGTGACCCTCCTGGGGAGCAAGGGTGTGAGAGGTAAGGGAAGGGTGTATGCTCACCTGTTGGTTGTCAGGGACCTTTCGTACCAGCACTTCGGTAATCTTCCGGGGCATGTCGCTGTCATAATCCACTTCCCGCTCCCGGAGAACAGTGATATCTGCCCCGACCCTGTCAGAGCAAGGCCACGGCTGCCACATCTCACCTGGACTCTCCTGCCCCCCACCTTCCAACCTGGCTCTGGACCAAACGGCCTTTCAACACCTCCCAACACGCGACTTCGCTTCCTACCGCCCTCCAGCCTATCCCACATCCTTTTAAACAAACAAATCTTAAATCAAGGAGCAAAAAAGCCTCGGTCCAACATGGAGGAACCCAGAACACTAGCCCTCCCCACTTCAGCCCTTTGTCAAGAGCAGGCAGCAGAAGGAAGTCCCGCGTTGGCCCCTCAGGCCCAAGGTGACTGGGTATTCACAGGTCCTCTCCAGTTAGGTAAAGAGAATAGGGATTGGGAAGCATACTTCTCTGCCATCCGGTGCAGGGTCTTGAGGGATGCCCGCATCTCCTCCTCAGCCAGCCCCACCAGCAGCCCATTGTCCTCTACCCCAATCTGGTAGACAGCCTCACCGCGGCCCTCCTGGAGCCGCCACTTCATCTGTGTCACCAGGTGCTCAAAGCGGTACTGGGATGGATTCACCAGCTTCAGCTTAGGACAGGTGAGGTGTCATAAGAAAATCAAGTCAGAGATGCTCCTCCTAAACCCACATGCTCCCACCTGTCCTGCTGTAAGGACTAGGACCTTTCCTTCCCACTTAAAGCCCCTCATCCCTGGTCTCCTCAAACAGTGAGTCCCCCTCCAACAGAATGAGGTATAGAGCCTTTACCCTGAATCATATCCCTAAATTGCTATACATCATGGGGTTGGAAGGATCTCAGAAAAAATCACCCCATACCAGCAAGGACAACCTGCCCCTCCCCAGCCTAAGACTCACTTTATATTCGATGTTTCCATCTTCAGCCTGAAAAGAAACAGAAAGCAGTTTTGACACACTGTCCTGACCAACTTCTACTTCCCTCTGACTCCTGCTGGGGCCCAGGCAGCTAACTTGAGAGAGCAGGAACCTCAGTGGCACCTGCTTAGACACAAACCCTCTACTCACTCCCAATGGACCTCTCTGAAGGCCTCTAAGAATACAGTGAGTCACCCATGTGAGCCAGAAACAAAAACCTAGTCCCTCTTTTCTTTGATTACTGGTGGTATACTCTTCCTAGATGCAAGATCACCCCTTCCTTCTCCCTGGGGCCTCAAACTGTTGTCCCCAGAAATCCAGATTTCCTGTGTTCAGGTTGCTGAGGTCATTCTCTGCCACTGGTCTGGGAGACACCATTTCCTTCCAGCCCACCCCTCTCAGCTGATGTCACCAAGCGTAAGAGGCTGCAAGAGGCTCTGGACCAGGGCCAAAGGGTGAGCTCAGCGCTGGTCACTATAAGCCTGATGAGAGACTAGCCCAGGTAAAATGAGGGGCAGGGCTCCAAAGTTGGGGCTGAGATGAAGAGAAGAAACTCAGGAAATGCAATAAAGGGGACAGACTCCACAAACCAGATTCACATGCCTGAAATCCTGAATCCACCCACACAACCTCCTCTACATCTTCCCTCTATCAGGTGACCCACCACAGAAGCAACCTGTTGCCTGAGCCTTCCCCTCTAGGGTGCAACAGGATAAGAGATTTGCTTCTTGTGCCTGTCCTGCATTTTGGCACTCCTCCTCCCTGGCCATTTTTCTTTTTCCCTTCCTGTCATCATTCCATCTCTTCAAGGCCCTCTGACTTCCAGGCTCTTAACAGGTCTTCACCCACAATCTCTACCTCATGGAGTAAAAGGGAGATCTTTTCCCATTAACAAAGATCTTCCTTTTTATCATTTTGCTACAGGTGAAGAATTAGGATGGGTGGCTTCAGAAAAGTGGTACAAGGATGACGGTCTAGGCCAATGGTTCTCAAAGTGTGATCCCAGGACCAGTAGCATTAGCACTGCCTGGGAACCTGTAAGAAACGCGGAGTATCAGGCCCACCTCTGACCTACTGAATCAGAAACTCCAGGGGTGAGGCAGCAATCCAGGTGATTCTGATACATGCTAAAGTTTGATAACCACTGGCTTAGGCTCTTCCCCCTCGGTCCTCCTTTCCTAAGAGGGACAAAACAGCAGTTATTCTCTGCCTTAGGGATAGATGGGGCAGGAAGCCATCCCCACTTCCTCATAGGACAAAGGGCAAGAGGACTTAAGCCTGACTGTTGTCTGCTTTTATGCGTGTGTATATGTGTACTCAGGGACAGAGGCGGAACATATTGCTCTTTTCCCCAGTACTCCCCTCCTCCCCTGTGGAACAAGTTTAGAAAACTCTGCTGCCTTCTCATCCCAGGATGCAGTCTCCCTTCTGTTGCAGAAGGATGAAGCCAGGGCATTCTACTTTGCTTTCTCCAAGGGGATGAAAGGGGGATACCCTTTCGCCACTTCTCCTCCTGAGGTTACTAGATCAGAATCCTCTTCCAGAAATCCTCCCTCCCCAATCTTCCTCCCTGGGGTCCTGACACCAGAATGAAAGTCCTCCCAGGGGTCCTGGGACCGGAAGGAAGGGTTCCCTTCTCCCCACTGTGTTCTGACACCGGAAGGGGGTATCAATTCCCTCTGCTCCGCCTCCCTGGAGTCCCGGGACCGGAAAGAGTGGTTTCCTCTCCTCACCCGCCACTTCTCATGGGGCTCACCTCGGGGGGCAAGTACGGAGGATTGTTGGCTTTGCCCCCTCTGTTCCTTCCGTTCTTCTTTTTCCCCTTTGGGCCCCCGCAGCCGCTGCTGCCGCCGGCCCCCCTAGCCTTAAGGGTTCCGCCCACGGCCGGGCCCCCTCCGGGCCGGCAGCAGCCGCCGAACAGCTCCGATACCCGCG